CTCCACCTCCTCCTCCTCCTCCTCCTCCTCCGCCTCCTCCTCCTCCTTCCTGCCTCGGGGCCCTCCTTCCCCCCCCAACTGCTTGGCCAATCGCGCCTGCCCCTCCCGTTTCCCCCTCCTCCTCCGCCTCCGCTCCCCGCCTGTGCCCTCAACGGCACGCTCCGCACACGGATCGTCCCGAGGGGGGGCGTCCACACAGCGCCCGTCTTCCATCTCGGCACACTCCCCACAAGGACCGTGACTCCCAGAAGGAGCTCCGCCGACGGCCTCGGGGGTGCGTCCGCATGGCGTTGCCCGCCCAGTGTGGCACACCCCGCACAAGGATCGTGCTTCACAGGGAGCTCCACCTCTACGGTCCCAGGAGATGCGTCCACACAGCGTCCCGCGTACCCCCGCCCATGCCGGCACACCCTTTACATGGATCGTGCCACACAGGGAGCTCCACCGACGGCCCCCGTTGGTGCATCCACGCAGCGTCAGCACCCGTTGATGTGTTTAAGTGCGGAGCCCCCCCACCATTCTGGCTTACTCCTCACACGGATCGCCACCTAAGGACCCAGTCGGTGTGTCCACGTGCGGGCCCGCAATTTAGGGGGTCTGGGCCCACGTTCGTTTACGGGCCATAACTCAAGCGTCCGACGGCCGTTCGAGACGATTCGGCCACCCTGGGAGCCCTGTCGACGAAGCGCAACTACAGAAAAGCATCACGACGCTGCATGTCAACCTCCAGGAACCCACGGTTCCACCCTACATTTCGGCACACCCCTCACACGGACCGTGCCCCGTGGGGAGCTGCCCATAGCCCTCGGAAGGCACGGCAATGTGCGGTCCCCCTGCCCGGCTCGGAACGCGGCATGAAGATGAGGACGAGGAAGAGGAGGAGGAGAGGGGAGTTCCAGGAATGGCACGATAATCATGAGTAGAAGGAGGAGCCCCTTACTCCTTTTCTGACTCGACGAACGGGGCTGCCTCAGCTCGCCTCTGCGCGCCTGGTTCGCCGGGCCCCCGTCCGCACCACCCCGAGCTCCATCCCCTTCGCGGCGCGCCGCCTGTGAGGAGAGGGTGCTTATTACCCTACTCTACTCGCAGCTGCGTAGGGATCGGTCCTTCGCCAGTCTACAATTGGTCAATCTGTCTGCTCGTCTCGCGATCCTGCTCCCGATCAGAGCCATGCCATGGCACGCGCCGCCCCTCCGTCTGACTGGCTAGTGCGCTGGCTCCAAGACTTTAAGCACAGCGTCGGTGAGCTTCCGAGAGAAATCACACTGCCAGACCCTCCATGGCGAGGTAACTACTCGAATCCCACCTCTGCGAGCAACATCCAACTGCAAGTAACCAACCGACGATTCTGGCCAACTCACGAGCTCGGGGCCGTGAGCTGTCTTGCAATCAGGGCTACCATACGCTGCATGACGGTACCAGTACGAGGCAATTTGCTGTGACAGCTCACGCTCCTCGTTGTTCATGTGGCTTGTATGCGCAAAAACAAACTGGACTTCGTCGAAATGCTCGACAAATGGCAGTGGACGTTGGGAAGCCTCGTGGCTGTAGATGTATCTGTAGACACGATTCCCACCTGTTTCCAGAAGGTGCGAGGCCAAAGTCATAGCGCAAGTCATCGTCGTGTCGCCAAGGATGCGTTCTGCAACCCAAAACTCATGGCTGACATCCGGTATCTGTGGGTGCACTTCAGTGCGGAGGTATTTCGAAATGGTGGCCTCCACATACTCTCTGGGCAAATATCTAGCGAAGCCTTGCTCGTTTTCAATGTAATCGAACAACTGCTCCTTATCTGAACGCATAGGCAAAGCTGTGAACATGAACCCTTCATCTCTGTTGCCACCGAGCAGAACCGGCACACTGCTAAGTCTGTGGGCTCGGGCTAGTTCCATAGGGTGGGCAACGAGCTCGACGCCATCAATTGTTGGCGCATGCCGACTGAAGAAATAGTCAACCACGTCTGGCCCCATGGCAGCAATAACTTCCTGCGTTGACAGAGAAACAAGGCAGCTGGCATTGGAGCAGCTTGTGTTGCGCAAGACCTGCTGGTAGACGTCTTCTGCCACTTCCCCAGGGTTCGCTGCCCATATCGCAAAGGCTCCGGATTCCATCGCAACGCTGGAGAAGAGGCCCCAGGAGCGCGGCATGGCAAGGTGGCATGAAATACTCGCAGCGCCAGCAGACTCTCCAAAGACCATCACACGCTTCGGGTCCCCCCCGAAGGCAGCAATATGATCTTGCACCCATTTGAAGGCTGCGCGCTGGTCCTGTAGACCGTAGTTTCCAGTCGAGCCACTTTCTGGATCCCTCTGGCGGAGCTGGTCACCACCCAGGAACCCGAAGATACCTAGGCGATAGTTCGTGGTTATGACCACTGCAGGCTGCCCACTCGCCATGTAGAACTTCACCAGGTCGGTGGCGTGATAGTACCCGTCCGACGCGGCGCCTAATACGAAACCACCGCCGTGGACCCATATCATGCACGGAAGCCCGGTGCTGCCGTGGAGCCATGGCGGAGCGTAGACATTCAAATAGAGACAGTCCTCGCTGCTGCTCGCAGAGGCGTACGGCACATCTTCCTGCATGCAGCTGTGGCCGTACCTCGAGGCATCCAGCGTGCCTGGCGCCCACGGCCGTGCAGGCTGCGGGGGCCGCCAGCGGCCTTCGCCCACGGGAGCGGCAGCGAACGGGATCCCGCGGAAGACGTGGACTCCACCTTCCTGGATTCCTAAGAGCCTCCCCATGGCGGTGCTCACCTCTTTGCCAAGCGCGCTCCGCTACTCGCAGAGTAACCACTCGCAAATGGCCTGGATCCGCCCCGGGGGATCTGCGATCCAGAACCTGGAGGAAGACATGCCTCCTGTTGTCGGACGCTTGCGAGTAGGCACCTTGCGAGTGGTGGAACGCGCTCGGTGACCTCCGGCCTCCGACCGGCCGCAGCCAACCCAAGGGGGCCGCCGGAGCCAGTGGCTCCTCGCCGGGCGCCCGCCGCAGCCGCGGACCCAGCCCCGAGGAGCACGGCGGCGGCGAAGGCCGCACCGAGAACTCGGGGCCCACCTCCGGGCCACGGGCTGCGTGGAGGGCCCTCGTCGTCTTCTTCGGTGAGGAGTCGGTGCTGCATTGTCTGCGTGTCCGGAGGCATGCCCGCCACACCTGGCCGCAGGCGCAAGCGTCGGATCTCCCCGAACTCACCAGCCCTCTGCAAGCGAACGCCAAATGGCCTGAACCCAAATGGCTTGCTCCAGAATTGCTTGAGCCGTCATGGCTTGAGCCGAAGAGGCTACGGAGGAAGTTCTTAGACATTTATGGGGATGACAGAAAAGATGCGTTGTCTTGCTGTCCGTTGCGTGTACCAAACAAATGGGCGGACCTCGCCAGGATCTGCGTCTTTCTCAAAGAAGGGCTTGCGAGAGATGAGCAGCCCATGACGCCCTGACTCTGCCTGCCTGGGTCTGTCTTCTGGGCGCCCCCGCGGGCCAAAGGACCGAATTTGCCCAAAATGTGAATGACCATTGTGCATAAGGGGTGCCGTGTTGCGCATCGAATACAATGACCTGCACGGATCGATCCGGCTCAAAAAATGGCGCAGAAAGATTGGGTTCGAGGGTCTGGGCGTGATTCGAGTAGAGGATCGACTACAGAATTGATTTACCCCCAAATTGATTTTCCCCATCGGAACTACGACGAATACGTAGAATGCTCGTGCATCTACTGAAGTCTCCGAGTATTTTTCCGCAAATGCGACGAGACCATTAATTGTTTGGGGAAATCAATTATGTAGTCGATCCCCTACTCGAGTGATGTTTTGCGATGTTGCAGTTTTTCTGCAACGTCGGATCTCATGGAGGGGGGGGGGTTGTCTTTCTGAGAGGGCCAAGGGCCTCTGGGAGGGCCGGGGCCTTCCAGCTTCTGGAGGAAGACTTCTTGGACCCCCTGGGGGTGGGCGGCGTTCTGACAGGGCGAGGGCCTCGGAGAGGGCCAGGGCCTTCAGCCTCTGGAGGAAGGCTTATTGGACCCTCCTGGGCCCGTGGTCGAAGGCCAGCTTTTTGTAAGAAACGCCCCGCCTGCTCAGAGCCCCAGGGGTCCGAGGGTCCGAGGGTCTGGGCGTGATTGTTTGCGATGTTGCAACTGTTCCGCCACGTCAGATCCCCGGGTAGCCCCTAGCAAGGTACGGCTCGCTACGGTGCCTGGAGGCGCAGCCCTCTTCAGCGCAGGGGAGAGCAGACACCGCCACCTCATCCCAACTGTGACGCAGAACACTGAAGGGGCCCAGGGACACACTAATAAATAGAAACGAATCGCAGGACTCCCCATATTGTTCCCCATGTCTTCTGGGTTTTCGTCTTCCCCCCCCCGCTCCCCATAGTTTCCGAGATTCTCCTGGGAGTCGACGATCAATTGTGTCTGCGTGTTTCTTTCCCTCCAGAAAAACACGGGCACGGCTGGCAGGCGCAAGCCCTGGTGTGACGACCTCGACGCCACAGCGCTGGGCCGTGAGGTGCGCACGGCGAGGGTGCCACCACTGCGAGACACAACCCACACTGGGAGGGCATCCCCCCTGCGAGAAGCACACTCTCCACGAGGAGGGAAAAGAGGAGGGGGAAGAGGAGAGCGAAGGACCCCTAACAAAGCGAGCAATACGCGAGCAAACAACGGCCTGCACTATGACCAAGCCTCCCACACATCGCGACGGTGTCGCAGAAAACAAAGCCATGAGAAAAAAAAGCGGCAAACGCTCGCGCGCAGCACGACAAACGCAGAATTTAGGGCAGAGTGGTCGAGACGTCCTTCGCAGTACCACACCAGGCGACAGTGGGCGCAGAGCGAGCACAGCACTGTAATGGACAAATTAATCCCCTGCCATCTCAAGGCGAAACTGCAGGAAGAGCACTCACGCACTCACCCAAATGAGGAGGACGACAGGGAGGAAAAGGAGGAAGAAGTCGTCCAACAGCTATGTCAACAAGTCTTCGTCCCACGCCCGGCTATTCGCCATCGTGGCATTGCGGGCCTGACTGTGCGGGTGTAGGGGGGCCTGACAGTGTCGCGCGCGAGGACGGGGTACGCTGACAGAGACGAACTATCTTCAAAGACATGCCCATTCCATCCAGAGCGAAACATCGAAGAGAAATGGCCATCATATACAACGAACTGAATAGAACTAGACACGGAAACTTGCACCACATACGTTGCACCATCAATACTCAGGAGAGCACCTCGCTCCGTGAAGGGTCCCCGTTCACGGAGGGAATACACATGTCCTCGGAAGCCGCTCCGAGAACGTGGTTTCAGATGTCCCCGGGAAACTCCTCCGGGAACATCGGGCGCGGCCATGTGCGTCGCCTCCAGAAGTAAGCGAGGGCAGGGACGCTATGGTCTAGGGGTGGTCCAACTGGGCCGCAACGAAAATGCCACGAAATGCAGCGCCCAATAGCAATGCCCCGCCAGATATCGCTTCCCGCGAGCGCCAGATTCGAATGGCCCGCCAGATTGCGCGTCCCGCGAGATCCAGGCGGACAAATCCTGCCCCCTCTGCAATGTCACAGAGACGGTGCGCCCTCGTGGCGACGGCGAGGCAATCGAATGGGAGCACGGTGATCGATCCCAGGGGGGGCCAGTCCACACCGTTACTCAGCGAGGCGTGCGTGCGACAAGCGCTCGAAATCGATGTCCCTCATCACCCACACTAACAGCACTCCCCGCATGCCATAACTTACTGACAAAGAAGCGAAACAGATACAACGACAGCGCAATACCATGTAAACCTTGCCAAAGGAAACTTTCTGACGGCCCAGACGTACGGACCACCCTCATCAGTGAAGACACCGAGGAACGCCCCTGAAACCATCTCCGTCTTGGGACCAGCAAGCCGCTGCTCAGCGCGCATGGTCATTACCTCGCTCAGGTTGTCCACTCGAGAAGAATTTGCGAATCACATGGCCGCCTACTTCGCGTGGGTGCTGTAAGCGTCCTTCACGGGTTCGCATCCAAACCCGCCACGCGAGTAGTCCCGTCCTCGTATACGAAGCGTCGCTTGATTAAGGCAGATGCCGACAACGCTGATGAAAGCTGAGTTGCCAACAACAAAAGCCATAAGGACAGTGTATACGGTCATCATTGTTACGTTCTCGCCCCAATTGTCAATGTCGAAGCTGGACAGGTCGGCGATTGCGAAGCCCGTGATGAACGTCGAAAGCGTGAGCATTGCTGACATTTCGTCCAATCGGTTTTGCACTCCGTCAAAATCCTCACCTTCTTTATCTCCATTCGCCCTTGCACACTCGAAATATTCCCCTGCCTCTACAGGAGTGGACTGCTCTCCATGCATCCGTGAAACGTACCCTGACCAACTATTCGGGCGAAGTTGACAAGAAACGCCAACTTCTGCACATGCCTCCTGAACAATGCAGATGGCTATACTGGGATCTCCTTGGGACCGTCAAGGGGTCCTCTTGGAGCGTGTGCGGAGCTCTGGAGGCCTCCTGGGGTACACTGCGATCCGTGGGAGCATTGGGCCGCCACCTGAACCATTTTTGGAGTCTGTGGAAGCCGAGATGGCCCCCTGAAGGCACGCGGGTCATCGGGGGGGAGGTTTTGGAGCAGAGGGCCTACCTGGGACCCGGTCGCCGGGTGTGTAGATGTATATATATATATATGTATATATATATACATATAAAAACATACGTGCGCACATCTCTCTCTATATATAGGTATGTACACACAAATTTAACGTACATTGTGCGCGTGTGCTTGTGTGTGATATCCCTGCTCTTTTTTCCTGACGCCCGCTCTTAGGACGATGGTTGAAAACGTCGCTGCCTCAAAATACACAGTGGCACCCTCCCTAACCCTCCTTGGCATCGTCCTCACACTCATCCGATCCTTCCCCCCACCAGTAAAATCATGTTTCCTCTCTCCTCATCTCGAAGTCGAACCAAACCAGCGGCCTCGAAGCCGAATCGGATCGATCTAATTGGGATGGGACCTGCTGGGAGTCTGTTTCCCCAATCTGGATTCCCCTGCTTCTCCAGATTCATGAAAGCCTCCCGAGGTTCTTTGAGACATGCAGAGGTCTCGAGGGGTCCACCATAATTCAAGAACATCGATCCTCCTCCCTCCTCCCTGCTGCTGCTGCCGCTGCTCCCTCTCCCCCTCCCTTATCCCTTCTCCCTCTTATCCTCTTTGTCCCCGCCGCGGACTCAAAGTAAGCGCTCGCCTGGTCTTCCAACCCTCGTGGCAGATGCAGACTGACGCGTCGGCCGAATCCTGCAGGAGGGCTGCATTTAGAGAAAGGTAGAGGAGCAGGACGAGAGGAACAGAAGCAGCATCAGGATGATGAGCAGCCGGAGCAGAAGACAATCGTAGAGCCAGGAGGATGAGGAGGAGGAGGAGGAGGAGGAGAAGACGGGTGAGGATCGATCGAGCAACAAGGAATCGAAAAACATACAACCAGCGTTATGGTCGGTCCATCCTATAGGGCATTCGTGCATCAAAGCGTTTCCAACAACGCGCTCGAATTGGGATCCGCCGACCCCCGCTTGCTGGGGGTGAAAAGACGTGCCCACGAGGCCCCAACAAGCTTCCCTCATGCCCCCAAGATATTCCAAGAGGTCCCAGAGAGCTATCCCGAGAGACCCTCATATTCATCCAGGAGGCTCCTGACCCAAGATCTAACTTAAACGATCGTCTCAAGCATTCACTCCTTGTGGGGGTCGGCGGAATGGCGTAAGCCACTTGAATAAGCATTCTTGAAAGCGCGCTGGTTGATGCGATCCAAGCCGTAAGGTCCTGTGGGCCACAGAGGAGGGCTCCATGGGTCGTTCGAGAGATGCAGCATGCTGAAATGCCAGGAAATCTGTCGCTGCCCAAGCCTATGCCCCTTCCCCTCCCTCTTCCCCATTCCCATTCCCCTCCGCGTCGCTCTAATTGCTACTTCCCCTGCTGCTCCCCCTGCTGCTGCTCATGGTTCTGCTCATGGTCCTCCTCGCGATCCTCCTCCTACCTCTCCTCCCCCCCCCCTCTTCTCATCCCTGATCCTCATATTCTTTCTCCTTCCCTTGCTCCTGCTGCTGCTCCTCCTGCTCCTGCCCCAATTGCCTGTTGCTGCAACTTATCCTCTCCTCCCTTCCTCCTCTCCCCCAGCCTCCTCTCCCCCAGCCTCCTCCCTCATCATAACTCTCGGCGTGCTCCTCATTATCCTCCCCTCCTGCTCCTCCTCCTGTCGTGAAGCGCGCCCGTCCTGCACACCGTGATCCCCGCATTCGGCTGGGGTCTCATCGTCGGCGCCTTGGCTGCAGCCGGTGAAAAGCGCCAAACCTGCGGAATGGAATGGCTCCTCCTCCTCCTCTTCCTCCTCCCCCTCCTCCTCGTCGGCCTCCTCTTCGTCCTCCTCCTCCTCCTCCTCCATCCCCTGTTCATGTGTCCCAGGATGGGCAAGGTCGGCGACCCCTGCCCGTCAGAGGATACGCCCTGGCTGACGCAAGAATCGATCACTCTCATGGCCCACTGGCCCGCAGCAACAACACACCAGTGCCGGAGAGGAAGAGGTGGAAGGCGATGCGCAAGGCACAAGAGAGCATGACGCATCAACGCCCGTGGCGGCACCTGCACCGAGAAGCAACGTAGATGAGAGAGGGGGAACCACACCCACACCCCTGACTAGAAGAAGAAACAGACACATAAAAATAAAATGTTGGCGCTCCGCGCAGATTTCTTGGATTCGCTCTGGACCACCCTCCCCAGCGCACGGAGCGCGCCAGGGGCGGTGCCGGAGTCGCCGCAGGGGGGCCCAGGCGCGGATCCAAGAAATCCGCGCGGAGCGCCCAACATTTATGTTTACGTGGTTCCCCGATCATTGGCCACTGAGGCAGGCCCCAACCCTTCCGCGAAACCCTGCCCGCGACCTCGCGCCCGCCCAGCGTGCGGCCGGAAGGGCCGCGCGCTCGGAGGACGCCCGCGTGTGGTGAGGATGAGCGCCCGTGCTTCTAGTAGGCCCTGGAAGCGACAGGGCCGTTTTTTACTGGTTCCGTTCTGCTGTATTTCGCCGGTTCCGACGCCGTTTTTCTTGCCGCTTCCGTCGCCGTTTCCTTGCCAGTTCCAGCTCCCGTTCTAGTCCTAAAGCCGTTTTTGTTGCCGTTTGTTGTCGCTGCTTTTTTGGGGCCGTTTTTGCATTTTCAAGGGACGTTTTTTTTCCTGGAAGCGGTGACAAACGGCCCTGCCGTTTCCGGGGCCCACGAAGTGCCCGTGCCGTGCACCCTTCGAGAATCCGTGAACGGACAGCACGGGTGAGCCGCGACGGCGGACGGAACCCAACCTCACACATTTGTTCGTCGTAGCGTTCCCGAACGCTCGGAACGCTGTGGAGCGAATTTATCTTCGTCCTGGCCCCGCACGAACAACAACAACAACAACAACAACAACACCAACAACAACAACAACAGCAACAGCAACAGCAACAACAACAACAACAACAACAACAACACCAACAACAACAACAACACCAACAACACCAACAACACCAACACCAACACCAACACCAACACCACCACCACCACCAACAACAACAACAACAACAACAACCTTGCTGAGGGTGAGGCCCGCCGTGATACCCGGATCGAAGGTGACCTCAGAGGAGGGGAGGAGGAGGAAGAGGAGGCAACCATGGGCTGCGGTACACGTACGTTCGGCCGGGGGCCGCCATCACCACTCGAGCCGCTGCGGCGGCTGGGCCAGCCGGGGCACTTTTGCTTCCGGAGCGTCGACAAGCGGCCAGTGTCGCCGCGGTGCCCGCCGAGGTAGCACTCCCAGTACTCGTCGACGATGTTCAGGCCAAACATGTGGAAGCCACATGCGGCCGCGTACCGGTTCTGGTGCACGGCACCGAGCCAACATATGAGCCGCAGCCGGGCTGCAGCAGCGTCGTCAGCAGACCTGGCCCCACACGGAGGGCGGCAGCTCGGGGGACACCAAAGGGGTACCGATACGTTCTGACCAGGATTTCGAAGCGAATCCAGCACTGGCGACGAGGGCCTCCCAGGAGGCCCAAAGAAGGCGAAAATGAGGCGAGGGCAGCGGCGGTATGGGTACCTTTTCCTCCTCCGACATTTGATCGCCCCCCATGACTTCAGCATGGACCGACCGTCTCGGCAGTCCTACAGTCCTACCACGACATGTTTTTAGAACCCAAACATGCTCTTGGAGCAAAGTCCGTGTTCTTAGCACATTAAGCCGAGGACTTAAAACAAGACCGCCTCAGCCAGAAGTGCTATCAGTCCTCGGAACATTCTTTGGTGGGCCCTGAGGCGAGCCAGAGCGCTTCGCCACTGCTTGGCAAGACGCAGCGCCCGAGGGACGGGAGCCGGCAGCTCGCCTGTGCAACCCTGGGGCGCCGGCGCCGCGGCCGCCGGCGTCGGCGCGGGCGCTGCAGGGGGCGACCTAGGCTCCCACCAGGCGCCCCCGCGCCCCCCGCTGGCCTCTCAGCCCGCTGGCCTCGCAGGGTCCCGGACCGCCCCGACAGCCGCCCGCAGGGTAGCCTCAGAAGATCACGAGCCCCCCCCCCCTTCTTCGACGTCCTTCTCCTCGGGCTCCTTAACGTCCCCTTCTTCGTGGTCGTCGTCGTCATCGCCGTCGTCGTCGTCGACCTCCCCCTCCTCCTCCTCCGCTTCGTTCCTCCTCGTGCTCGTCCTTCTCCGTCTCTTCCTCCTCGTTCTTGAGATTGTCTCCCTACTGGTTGTCATCCGCCGCCTTGTCGTCGCCATCATCGTTTTTCCTCTTTTCCCCACTTCGAGCCGAATGGACAACGTCGGCGCTTCCCGTCATTGTCCCATTAATTTTCAAATGTCAGGTAGCGCCACATGGTCGGAACGACGAAGCCGAAAACAAACAAACTCGAATGGCCGACCCAGGCAGGCAAGTCCACGAGGGGAAAACTAGGTGTCGGGTACTGGGGAACCAAAGTCGAGACACACAGACGGCCCCGAGCCTCGCCCGCAATCACACACACACACACGCACAACCTCACACACGTTGGCCTCTTCTTCCCCCCCCCTTGCCCCCCTCCCCTACTTCCAGGCAGGCCGTGATCGACTGGGGAGCCCGCCAAGGCAGAGGCCGCACGAATGAGGCCCGAGTGGTCGGGGTCGGAAGATCACGCCGAATCGCCCATGCATCGCCGATGCATCATCGGTGCATCAGCGACGTTGGCGTGGGGAAAATTTGGCTCCACGTCGGCGATGCAGCCCGTTGCACCGACCTCATCTACTCCGACCCTCATGTGGGCGGCCTGGATAAGAGGGAGTCGATCCAAAATGCAGCGTACCACTCGGATAGAGGGCAACGTGGCGGGAGCGGACACGGTTGTAGCATCAGAGATGTTAGTAGCAGTACTACAGACCGTAGCAGAACCGACAACAACGATGACGACGACGACGACGACGACGAGGACGACGACGACGACGACGAGCGACGATGACGACGATGACCACGAACGCATGCCTGTTAGCACCAGAACATGCCTGCGATCACCGCGCCGTACCTGTGAGGGGGAACCGCCCCCACCGTGCACGCGCTCGGTACCGTCCCCAGGGGGCGGGGAGCGCGGGCGACCCACCGCAACAGACGTTGCGGGCTCGCCAAGTTAAAACAATATCCAGAACCTGTGGTTCCCGACACCCTCCGATTCTGTCACGACCTGAGAGCCTGAGAGACGTGGATCACGTCCTTTTGGCGTGCTGCCCAACCTCACTCGCCGTCCTCGAGGAGCGTGACTCTGCACAACCCCATTCCGCACGTCTTTTGAGTGTGGGTGTGTGTGCGTGTTGTGTGTGTCTGTGTGTCTGTGGCTGTGTGTGTGTGTGTGTGTGGCTGTGTGTGTGTGTGTGCGTGTAGCCAGCTCTGCGCCGAAAGCTCCCCCGGCCCTCTGTCCTGCGTCACAGATCTGCCTGCTGCTCGCAGTGGCACCCGGGAGGAGGAGGAGGAGGAGGAGGAGGAGGAGGAGGAGGAGGAGGAAGAGGACAAGGAGGAGGAGGAGGACAATTCGGTTTTTTTTTTCCCATATCCCTTTCTCGGTGGAAGGAGGAGAGGACAATTAGGAGGAGGAGAAGGAGGAGGAGACGAGGAGGAGAGGAGTAAGACCGAAGACGAGGGGGAGGAGGAGGAGGAGGAGGAGGAGGAGGAGGAGGAGGAGGAGAGAGGAGGAGGAGGAGGGGAGGAGGAGGAGGAGGTGGCCAGCGGCGGCGCCCCAGGGCGCGCCACCGCCCTTGCCCGTCACCCTCTCGCCTCTCTCGAGCCTGCCATCCTCGGAGGCAAGCGAATCCAGACTGCGGGTTCCTCTCTGGCTGCCGCTCCCGGTTTCCCTACCCCCCGCTCCCCCACTTCCCTCCCAGCAGCCCCGGGTTTCGCCCTGCTGCCTCCTCCATCCTCTCATCCCTCTTGCCTTTCTCCCGCCTCCTTCCCCTCCCTTCGATACGGGTGGGAAGGAGGACATGGAGCAGCAGCAGGAGGAGCAGGAGAACGACGAGGCGAGGAGGATAAGTAGGAGGAGGAGGAGGAGGAGGAGGAGGAGGAGGGCGGGGAGGAACAGGGAGAGGATGAAAGGTGGGAGTGGGAGAGGGAACGAGGAGGAGAAAGAGGAGAGGGAGGAATACGAGAAGGGCCTCGACGACGATGACGAGGAGGGGGGGGAAGGTGGCGAGGGAGAGGAGAACGAGAACAAAATCATAAACATCCTCCTCCTCGTCATTGTTCCGAGGAGCCCGCGTGCTGGTGGTCAGGAAGCCGCCGCCGCTGCTGCCAGCGGCCGGCGTCGGCGCCGGCTGCTCTTGGGCGCCGCCGCCGAAGAACGTGGCGGGATTGACGCACGTGTTCGTCTGGCGGGGCGCTCGCTTCCAGGACCGAGGATCGAGGTGCCTTGGTGTTTTTTGCCGCTTGGGGGCTCCTGTAGCCTCCTTGTCACCGCGGCAAGATACAATCCCTTGAAGTATGGTTCAAAACGCAACGCACCCAAGGAGAGGCCCCCGGAGTCGAGGATCGACACAGGATCTCTGTCCCTTCCACCTCCTCCTCATCCTCGTCGTCCTCCTCTTCGTCCTCCCTTTCCTCCTCCTCCTCCTCTTCCTCCTCTTCCTCCTCTTCCTCCTCCTCCTCCTCCTCCTCCTCCTGGTGGGGCCCCGACCCCTGTCGCGCCGTGGCAAGCAAAATTCGAACGTTGGCAGGGCAACCTCCGCTTTGACAGCAGGCTGCAAGGACAGCGCAACTCTCGCCGTCGCAGGTCCAAGCCTCCTGGAGTGCCTGGGCATAAATATGCCCTGCGGGCTCTTGGGGTACCACCTGGGCGGGCCGACACCAGCACGGCCATGGCCAAGGCTCGAGGGACTGCCCTCGTGGCGTGGTGTCGCTCGAGGCACTTCCAGATTCCAGTTTGGGGAGGTGGTGGTACTGTGGACCCTGGGCCACGGGGAGACCTAATTGTAGTCGCGGCGAGGTTCCACCACTTCCGAGCAGTTCTTTCCTGGTGCCACTTGCGCCACCACGTCCCTGACATCGGACGCGACCGCCTGGCGCGTGGAGATCACAGTCGCCGAAGCAAGGAGGAGGGGAGGGGAGGAAGAGGACGACGATGACGATGACGAGAGCGGCGGCAACTGCTGCGCCCCTGGGCACGCGGAAGCGCCGCGCGCGGCCGCCGAACCGTGGACGGCCAAGCGGCACCAGTCGCTCGCCCTGCTCTGCGGTTCCGGCGCCGCACGCCCAGAGAGCGCGCGCGCGCGGACTCGGCGATGCGGCCACGGGGGATGGGGGAAGAAGGGCCAGCCGGGTGCGCTCGCGTCAGAGCTGGCGTCCTGCCCCTCCCTCCCGTCCCTTCGCATGGCGCAGAGCTCCTCCCTGCTGTCTTCGCGCTATCGGATGCCGCAGCGTGGCAGAGCACTACATGGCATGGCATGGTGCTGAAGATCAGCGCGATAGCACGGCACAGCGCATGGCGCGGCAACGCAGGGGGAGAAGGGAGAGGCGGCCTTCGGGAACCCAGGAGAGGAGGGCGGCGAGAAAGAGAGTGGAGGGTGAAGGGGAAGGACGGGAGCAGGCAGACAGGAAGGTGACGTACAGGGGGGCCGTCCTCCAGGGCTGGACCTAAACGTTGTGGTTCGTGTTGTGTTCGTTTTGTTTTTCGTTTTGCTCCACCTGTTTTCCTGGAAATCCCCCCCAAAACGAAAAACAAAACACAGCCGAAATCCAGCAAAACAGCGTTTAGGTCCAGCCCTGCCGTCCCCAAACCCCCGACGTCATGATTTTTTTTCATAACGTCGACCCTCAACATGGGTCTGGACCCATGACCCGGGACTGGCCTTTCCTCCCGAGTCGTTTCGTTGACGGCCCCGAGGCCCGGTGATGGGGCCCCCATGGAGGCCGAAAATGTGAAAAACAAAAACTCCCGTCGAAGTATTTTGCCCTGGCTCGAGGGGGTCTGGGTCAGGGGAGCCTGAGCATTTTCTTGGGGTGGGGGGCTCAGGGTGAAATCCATATGGGCTCTTCACCCCGAAAACCAATCCGACTTTTTGATACACCTTTTGCAGGCTCAAGCCTCGAACATCAATCGAAACAGCATTTCTCATTTCACCCTTTGCCCTCCACCCAAAGAAGATGCCCGGGGAGCTGGGGGCTGGATGGGGGTCCAAAGAATATACACCACCACCACGTCGATTCCTCCTCTCGCCTCTTTCCAGCGAGAGGGAGGGGGGGAGGAGGTGGTGGTGGTGTATATTTTGGGGCTTCCTACTGGCCTGTAAGCGCCTCCGTGCCCCAGGAGGGCAAAAGGAACAACACTGGAGGAACCTAAGGAACATCGAGCCCCTTCCGAACCCAAACTGTTCCTTATTTCAGCGTCTTGACTGGAGGCAACCAAGCTCAAGGCCTCTGAGCACCATCCGCCGTCGCTCCCCGGGCAAGACCGCAGGCCCTGTGATGGTCACGTGGGCGTGACCGTCTGCTCCCACGGGCCGCGAACCTCGACGGCCACCCTCCCGAGCCTCCGGCGTCTTTGCAGGAGCCCAGGGACACACAGCCTGAGCATCTTCGTAGGCTGGAGGGCTCAGGGTGAAATCCACATGGGCTTTCGCACCTCGAGAGCCAATCCGTCTTTTGATCCACCTTTTGCAGATTCAAGCCTCGAACATCCATCGAAACGGCATTTCAGATTTCGTCCTTTGCCCTCCACCCAAAGAAAATGATCGGACAACCACATACACACAAATCCTAGGATTCACCATGTTTTCCCATATATCCTGGGCTTCCGTCTTCCCTCCCCCACTTCCCCTATTTTCCTGGGAGTCGACGATGGATTGTGTCTGTGTGTTTTCTCCCCTCCCGAGTCTCGGGCGCCGCCGCGGCGCGGCCGCGCGGCATCTGCCGGGCAGAAGATTCGGACGACGGACGTGCGGGGACCCTGACCCCCTCGAGCCATGAAAAAATCACGACGGGAAGCTTTTCCATACTATCGGCCTCTGGGGGGGCCCTCACCGGGCCTCGGGACCGTCAACAAAACGACTCAGGATGAAAACCCGGTCCCAGGGAATGGGTCCAGACCTCCAGGGGTCGACGTCATGAATAAATCATGACGTCGGGGATCTGGGGAGGAGGTCGCCATGTGCGGCAGGCTTCGACAGCGAATGGCAGCGTGGGCCCTGGTCTCTGCCGCCGCGTGACGGGTCTCAACTTGTCGACCGCGGCCGCGCGGCCGCATCCGCAGCCGCATGCACTGGTCTTGGCCAGGCCGGCCCCCGGGCCCCCGGGCCCCGGATCGGCGCAGTTGGAGAGGGAATGGGAGATGAGGCCGCCAGAGCGTCAGAAACGTTCAAAAACAAAGGGGTGGAAGGCCAGGGGGGGAGGATACCCCCCTCCTCCGACGACGCAATCTGCTATGGCCTCCCGGGGATCTCGACCCCTCCTCCAGGGCCAGATACCGAAAAAGTCAAGAGCGCGGCGTCCCCACTGTTTGTGGGGTCCTCTGCATCTGAAAGGGGGGGAGAGAGAGAAGGCAGAGGAACGGAGGAGTGACCGGGAAAGGGATCAGTGCCGCAGTCGAAAGGAAGAAGAGGGAGAACCCCGCCCGTGTCGGGTCGGGCGAAAGGGGGGGACAGCAAAGGGGGGGGTGAGAATCAGCTCACGTAGCTGATTCTCCCGGCGCCTCCCGGCGCCGGGAGGCCCATTCCTCGATATATCGAGGAATGGGCCCGGCGGCGAGGCCGAAACCAGCTGCATGCAGCAGATTTCGTGACACCCCCTTTCCCAACCCCCCCTTTCGCCCGACCCGACCTTGGCTGCAGGGGAAGGGGATGGGGAGATGTTGGCGCGAGCACAGCCAGATGGCGCGAAAGGGTTGGGGCTCTGAGCAGGCGGTGCGCTTCTTACAAGAAGCTGGCATTCGACCGCGGGCACAGGAGGGTCTAAGAAGCCTTCCTCCAGAGGCTGACGGCCCCGGCCCTCTCGAAGGCCCTTGCCCTGTCAGAACGCCGCCCAACCCCAGGGGGTCCAAGAAGTCTTCCTCCAGAAGCTGGAGGGCCCCAGCCCTCCCAGAGGCCCTTGGCCCTCCCAGAACCCCCCCCCCCTCCATGAGATCCGATGTTGCAGAAAAATTGCAAGCAAAACAAAAAAACACACGCCCAGACCCCCGGACCCCATCTTTCTGCGTGATCTTCGAGCCGGATCGATCCGTGAGGGCCCCAGGGCCCGACGTGGAGCGAAAACGCCCGGCTCGACAAAATCGAGTCGCCAGGATCTCGGGAGCGGCCAAGAGGGGGGTGTCCAAGAGGGGGCGTGCAAATCATGACCGGCGGCATGTGCGCCGCCCAGCGGGGGGGCCAGGGACGTAATGAAATAAGAAGAGGCGCCATGAAATCTGGGGAAATATCATGACCCCCGCCATGATATCCACCCCCCCTAGTCATCACTCCCCTCTTTTCCGCCCCCGAGGATCTCAGGCCCCCCCTCGCGCGCGCCGCCGCGGCGCGGAGCGGGACAGGCCAGGCAGAGGCCACCCGGCCGCCGGCCGCGCGCTGCTCGGAGCGGGGGCGCGGGTCCTCCCCGTCGTAGAAGTCCCCGGGGCCGCAGCTCGCCCGGGCCTGCGCGCGGGGCGCGGGGGGGCCGCGTGCCCCCCGGTCCTCTCCCTCGCCATCGCTCGGACGTCCAATCCATGTTTTTCTTTGGTTTCGTGCGCGGATTTTTCGCCACATGATCAAGGATGCTCCTCGATGGCGCTCGCCGAAGGAAAAATGCACACGTCCGAGCGATGCCAAGCTCCAGATAGGAGATCGCGTCGCAAAATCCAGACCCCCTCGCGCTGTGACAAAATCGCGGCCGGAGGCTTTCCCATACTTTCGTGGCCTCTCCAGGCCGCGGGATCGCGGGAGATCCCGTCAACAAGACGAATTTTGTTTCCCCGTGTTCGGATTCTGGAGGCTCTCGCCGGGCCCGCGGGACCGTCAGGGGGAAGGGCCGGGATCTTCGGGGGACTGCATATCTTGTTATGATGTCCCAACCTACTTTAGTCAGAAAGAACTTCGAGCACCAGGGAAACATAGAAAACTGCAGGCTTTTCACGTGTCGGGCCCTGGGAGGCGATACTCTTTCGACACGTTCTGGGTGCTCGAAAATATTTCTGGGATCTGGTCCCTAAGTACGATGGGAACAACATAGACACATTGAAGACGTCGGGGCGTCGCAGGTCTGGGTCGCCGTCCTCCCCCGCTGGCCGGGGGCGACGAAAAACGACGCAGAGCAACGCGAAACAACGACGACATCGCCGCTGGATCGGCAGCCGGGACAGGTATCCCAGAAAAGACGCTGGGCAAGGTGTGGGGTGCAATCCGACGGC